ATAATCCAAGCTGATAAAGAATCATTAAATCCTGCTCGAGCTCAATTAGGATGATCATTTCGACTATCGTATATTTCACCATTATAAATACTATCGTGGGTGAATGGGTGCGTGTGGGTGTGGGTGTGTGGGGTGTGGGTGGATGTGGGTGTGTGGGTGTGGGTGGGGTGTGAGTGGGGGTGTGGGTGTGGGTATGTTGGGTGTGAGTGTGAGTGGCTAGAGGGTATGGGTGGGTGTGGGTGAGGATGTGGGCGTGTTGGGTGTGGGTTTGGGTAGTTGCAGAGAAATTTGACGCCCACACCCACACCTCCACCCACACCCTCACCCACCCACGCCCACACCCACACCCTCACACCCACACCCACCCACACCCACACCCACACCGACACCCCACACCCATCCATGGCCAACTTTCATGGACCCGGCTTGGCTCATTTGGAGCTGTTTCATTCAAACACAATTTTGTTTCTAATATAAACACTACAAGAGGAATTCAAGTAGACTGAACCTAATATTGTAACTAAATTGATACATATGTAAAATGTTTACAAAATTGTGATAGGTATTTGCATATTGCTAATCCTAACTATAATTGTAATACAAGTATATTACAATTAGTATTATTTAATGGAATGCTAATAGTAAGCTGACGCCCCTAATTTATAGTTCAATAAAACAAAGTTAGTTGTCAAAACGTAACAATTTTAAGGTTTTTTTAATTTTACTAATGTGATATTCTTAAATACAAAAGATCTGATCTTTACATATCAATGCGAGGAAAAAAAACTTCGAACTTTTCCACCCAAAAGACGAAATGATCGATGATTGGATTAACTAATATCATCGTCATCATTAAATACCAAAGGATACTTCAAACATCTCAATATAAAGAATAAAAGTTTCGAATCTGGACACTACATGTGTACTTTTATCGGGTAATGATAAAATGAGTAATCGTTCTTTGGAAAAGAAAAAATGAGAGAATAGACACATTGTCTATCAAACAATAGAAAGATATTGATAGGTATGTGATGAATTATGACAGTAACTGCTTATGGCTTTCGGCACGCTGGTGTCTTGTGTCATCTGCACACTCACAACTGTGTCTTTTCTTTATTAAATACAACTTATATGGATGTGATCACACAGAGGAGAGCAAAGAGAGAAGGTCAATCCTCGGTGAAAAGGTCATATAAGTGAAGCATAAAGGTCAATGACCGCTATAGATTGGACAGAGACTTTTCTTTTCTCGAGTTGCGAATGGCTGGAAAATATTCGCGATAATACGACTGAAGCAAAACTATCAAGAGATATTATTGTGACCGATTCTATGCATCATCAGTCGTCATGTCTGTATCCAAGGTCATCCGTCGAGCCCATACATTCATGTGTATACATATCACTTATTCTTTTTCTCTTTTTTAATGCTATTTCGGCCTGATATTTTTCTGTTCATATTGCATGTATTAGGTCTTTTTTTGAATTAAATCCGAGCGAGTGGGTTGCTCCATTACAATTATTCTCTTCTCAACATACCAACAATAATTTCGATTGTCATTTAAATACGTCCATCTTCTTTATTAATATGCCTATTTAACTTTTGTTTTAAATTGATCGAAACGTGTGTGTGAATTTTTTTTATAGACAATATTATTATTTAACTATCTCTCTATTACAAAGACAATGAATACTGATTCCAGTTTA